CAAATATGCCTGATCCTGTCACTCTTTTATGATTCCTGCCCAGCTCCTTGCAGCCACTCTGTTTGCAAACCAGCTATCTACTCTCTCCTGGCATCCCAGGGCCTCAAATCCAGTTCTTTGCTCCGCCTCTATACCTTTAACGCAAAGCACTGTTCCCAGGTCCAGCCCTTAATATGCAACTTCTCAACCTATGTTCCAGGCATTTCCAAGCACTTTAACTTGCTAAAATAGATCTCCCTGTCCTCCCCCAAAACATACACTACCATTGATTGTGGAAAATGATATAAATGGAGCTACTTTACCATGGCTGCCATCCCAGAGGACTTGTTTTGTATGTCTCACTCCTCAAATCTTTGGAGCATTAAACCTGGGTGAAGTAACCCTGCGTTGGGCCCGAAGCAGCACTGGATCCCAAACAACTGTTCGCGAAGATGATAAGAAAGCAGATGTTATGATTATAGGCTTGAGGAGTTAAAGTATTTTTTAAATTGATTTTAGAGAAGGGAGGAGAGAGAGAGATCGATTTGCCATTCTATTTATTTGTGCACTCATTGGTTGCTTCCTGTCTGTGCCCTGACCTGAGATCGAAACTGCAGCCTTGCTGTATAGGGACAATGCTCTAACCACCAACTGAGCTACACAGCCAGGGCTTACTCTTTTTTAGAATTGGCATCACTATGTTAGTTTATTACAGAAAATAATCTCACAGGGTGATCTGATCATAATTCCTCACTGGGCAGGGTCATGGTGGGTAGTCATGGCCCAGGTCTATAGCTTCCTTTTTTTTTTTAAGGAAACTTTGTTTATTTATTTATTTATTTATTTATTTATTTATTTATTTATTTTTAGAGAGAGGGGAAGGTAGGGAGAAAAAGAGGGAGGGAAACATCCATGCGAGACAGAAACATTGATCAGTTGTCTCTCGTACGCCCCAAACCCGCAACCCAGGCATGTGCCCTGACTGGGAATCAAACTGGCAACCTTTTGGTTCACAAGCTGGCACTCAATCCACTGAGCCACACCAGCCAGGACAATATAGTTTATTTAGTAAAAGGTTCTTCTTTGCCTTAAATAAGCCCTGTCCTTTTCTTCTGTGCACCTAGGCTAACACGCCTTTGAAATGCAACCTTTTGGACCCCTCTTTATAAGGGGGGACCACCCTCTAGAAAGCACATAATCTTAACTACCCTGTGATCCAACCCCCACCTTGCTTTCTCCCACCATCATGTAATCTTCCTTCCTTAATCTCAAATGAATAAAAGAAACAGCACTATTATTCTCTGGAGCATTTGAGATCTGGCTCCCTGACGTATGTCTTCAGTGTGGCTCAATAAACTCTTATAAAAATTCTCTACAGGTTTGGACATTTCTTACATTGACACTTCTATTGATGTCATTGTTCTCCCTTTTCTTTTTCACAAATACCTCTTGCCTTTACCTCCCAATCAGAACACTATTGGGTTTCTGCCTGAATCAGTGCTTTCCAAAGAGCTATTCTTTTGGATCTCAAATAAATGCTCGTTGGCTGTCACTGCGCCCCTCATTTTTAGGTTAACATGATCTCTTCGGTCTCCCAGGCTTTCAGTCTTGCCACCATAACTGACTCACTTTGTGCCAGTCCAGGTTTTTGTCTTGGCACTGACAGAAACAGACTCTAGGTCACTTAAAGCAGAAAAACAATTTGTTGGAACTCCCGTATTTCACACAATGGATAGAAAAACCGGGAACCTGCCTTGGGAGATGGGGAGGGACCAAAGCACACGGGACAGCCAGCACGACAGCCAGGATCATGGGAAGAGTCTACTGAGAAGTGAATTCTAAACTGCCTACATCTGAGTCCTTCCTTTGCATTGGGAGCCCAAAGTGGAAGCATCTGATTGACTGAGCTCTAGCAGAAAAAGCCTGGAGGGCAAGTATTTTAACTGTAGGCGTTCATAGCCAAGCCTCCCACCTGGGCTTCTGGTGCTGAAATGTAGCGTCACCTGCTCCCATATCCAAACAGCTACTGCATCTTTTAGAGACTGTTTCCACAATGGTCTCGTGTCTCTGTGTCCCCAGTGACCTGCACCCCAGACTAGCATTCACCCCACTTGAGGAACAGCTAGCAGAACACCTGGATAGTATGGTGCAGTGGTTAAATCAGGACTCTCAAAACAAACTGCCCTTCAGGCTACTAGCTGTTGTGACCTCAGGGAAGTTATTGACTTTTCTGCGCTTTCGGAGTTTGCTCATCTCTAAAATAAGGATAACAATACTATCTATCTCTTAAGGTGATTGTGAAGATAAGTGCATTCATATATGCAAAGTGCTTCAAGTGAGACTTGAATGTTCTATAAATGTAAGCTGATGTTAATATTCTGAGGGCACCTTGCCCATTATGTGCTCTTGAGTCTCCAAAACTTTCCTCTCTCCCTGCCTCCCCTCATCCTATGGTTCCCTGATGAAATACAACCCCTTGGCTTATCTTTGCAGCCGTGCTGGGTTGGCCCAAGGGCCCTTCTCCAGCCCAGCCTAGAATGTCCTCAGCCCATTTAAAACCGGTCTCCAGGATATCTGTCCCCCACATAGAGATTCACGCCCTCAGAGGAGCTTTCTTCTGAGCCCCACAGCACGTGTGCGTGTCTCCTCCAAGGTATTTACCACATTCTGCCTTCACCAGTGTTGTCTACACCACTCACGTATTCCCGCTACTGTATTGCAGCTATTGCATTTGTATAGTCTTGCTACTCTTCTCTGGGTGGTTCCAACCCCCTCCTTATGCCCAACCCCCGGCTGTGTCGCCCTCCCAGGCTTGTGTGCTCTTCCCTCACCTTTACATAGTCAATTCCTACTCTTCTCTAAGACCCAGCTCTGGACCCCTAGGACGCAGCAGTGCCTGGCCCACGATTAGTGGTCGTTGATGATGTCAAGGCCATGTGAATGAAAAAGGGGCCACATACTAAACATGACAAGCTCAGGGGAGGCCTGCATGGTGGGCCTTATGAACCCAGAGACCAAAGTAACCACATAGGGTAGCCTGAAATTAAAAATGCCTAAGTAGCCCTGGCTGGTGTGGCTCAGTGGATTGAATGCCGGCCTGCAAAACAAAGGGTCGCTGGTTCGATTCCCAGTCAGGGCACATGCCTGAGTTACAGGCCAGAACCCCAACATCGGGCAAGCGAGAGGCAACCACACATAGATGTTTCTCTCTTTCTCCTTCCCTTCTGCTCTCTCTAAAAACAAATTTAGAAAATCTTTTTTAAAAAATTCCTAACTAAATATGGGCCATGGTAAGTAGTCCCTTCTTAGGCCTGCAGGTTCCTTGACAAAAGTCAGTCTTTAGATCTGAAATTGTCTATCGTCTTCGTGTATGTGAGGTAGCATACCTTTGAAATATCAGAGTAATTTTCTCATCCAAACCCCTGAAGGCAGGACTGCAGGCACAAGACCATGAGACCACGCTGTTATCTCGTTGCCTGCATACCATCGCTGTGTGCTGTAAATGCTAACTATCCTGTACGCACCAATGAAGAAGTATGTGTCTCTGTTTTACTCTTTATCCAATCGCAGAGATTTCCCTGCTCTGCTTTCTCCCATCCTCTCTAACTTACCACCGACAGATTTCATGTGACTCTCCTTACATCTCCTACTTTGATTCTAATGTATAAAATAAACTGTAAAACCGCCATTCTCCAGAGCATTTTCTCAATCCACTGAAATTTTGCTTCCTGGCAATTGTCTGTTTGGCTGAAATAAGCTCTTATAAGACTTTTTTTTTTTTAGAGTGGATGTTCTTTTGACAACAGCCATGAGAAAGAGAGGGATCTGATAGGGTGAGGGAGGAGACTATATAGAGCTGGGGTGGGGGATAAGGAACGTGGAGGAGGGACATCTGAGGGGCGGATTTTCTCCCTGTCTCCTTCACTTCACCCCTGCAGGCCAGTGTGTGGCCCACACCACTCCTCTGGGTTTGCAATGCCCTTGCTGGCCGGCCCCGCCTGAGAGACCCTCAAAAATATTTCCCCCACTTATCTCTCTGCCCCCATGGAACCTCAGAGCTCTTGACTTCAGTGTCTCTGGGGCATTTATCAAGTACTACCTGGTAGAATAAATATTTGTGTTCCTGGGGCCCCTCCTCCCTGCCTTTCCTGTGCCCTGAAGTCTTCCCCCGCTCTCCTGCCATCAGCACAGTTACCCCTCAGCCCAGGAGCGCCAGGCCGCGTCAGGAGAGACACACACCAGGGCTCAGTGGCAGCCTCCTCCCCAGGCTTAGCACCAGGCCCTCATGGCTGTCGTTTCATTGGCTCCCTCTAGTAATTCCATGAAGAAAGTCATCCTGCCTCCATCTTACAGATACAAAAAAGCCGGGGGTGGGGGGAGGAGGCTCAGAGAGGTTATATAAGTTTCTCAAGTTTCCACAGCTGGGACTCAAACCCACATCTCTTCCGCATTCTCTCCCTGTTCACAGGTGGCCTTATGTGACATACCCTGCAGTGCCTGGCAGACGCCCTCATACACGAGCAAACTGACCTCAGTGACAGTTGGGTGAAAAGTCGAAAGTAAGCCATATTGAAGGTCTCCTGTCTGCAGGGACAGGCCAGAGTGGGCTTATGCCCTCCCTGGAGGACTGCATCTGAGGAGCCTGTCCCCCAAACCCCCACACGTCCCTTCTAGGACCTATCCACTCCCTGTCCTCACTCCTTCTCCTACCCATGGGATCTGGTACTAGAAGGAGCTGCCCCTCCCCCAGCCTCTTCCTGTCCCTTCTCTATACACACTCCCTTCATCTGTCCACAGTAGGTTCAATGCTTCGTGCCAAGTCTTTCCTTCATACCCCAGCACAGCTCGACAGCGAGGTGTGGAAGGATTGATACAATGTGGCCCCAAGTCCAGTTGAAGGCACCCATAGGAGTTCTGAACACCACTGCCTTTCTGAGCTTTAGTTTCCTCATCTAGTTGGGGGGGCATAATTCTTGCCTTTGCCCACCTCACAATGTTTAGGAGTCTATAAAGATGAACTAGTACGCGATAAAATACAGAGCTGAAAACCGTGGAAGATCATAAAATGTTACACAACTGTAAGGGATTCCGTTCTGGCTGTAACATGGGCATTAAACTCTAACCTCTCAAAGATATTTACCATAAAAAATTACAGAGCCCTGGGGAAAGAACCAAGAAGTGTGCTTGCTCCTGGGCAATATTTGTCTTCATTCGTGTTTCTCCTGGTTTTCTGCACTGATCATTTACTTCTTCTGTAATCAGAAAAAAGTTATATGAAAGAAATGCTTCTGAAATAAAAGTATCTAAACTCCTGCTCATATACTATGTTATAATGGAAGTCTAGCCAGTGACAGGAAACAGGTTTGTCAGCTGCACTGAGAGCGAACGTCCTCTGACCCACCCTCACCCTCCCTCAGCTGGGAAGGAGGCATTTCTCCCCAGTCAAAACCAAGGATTCCTGGTCCTCCGTCCACCATTCCTCTTCCCTGCCTAGGGCATGCAGGCTAGAGGAAGCCTCCCTGTGAGCCCTGAGGTTCACTATGACATCCCAAAGGGACAACTGTCCTGAGCTTCCCACCTTCCTGAGCTCCAGACCCTCATCTCCAACCGTCCCAGGACACCTCCACCTGGAAGTCCCACAGGTCCCTCCAATGCAACCTGTCTTCGGCAGGCACTGTTCGGGACTCACCCCTGTTCCCAGGCTAACAGATACCAGTTCTTTGGGGAGCAGAGCAGATCCGGTTTGGGGGAGGTAGACCCCAGCCCCAGCAGAACCAGTCCCTTCTCCTCCTTTACAGATGTGGGTGTAGCAATGGATACTGAGCCAGTTCTGTCCCCCAAGGGACAGATCCTAGGAAAAATTTCCCTCCTATCAGATAACAATATTCTAATGAAAAGATCTTGTGCTTCCACCCTTTCCTCCTGTGACTGCCTTGGCCACGGCCATGAGGGAATAGAGCCGAGAGGCGGAGAGCATTGGGTCTTTGACAACACTGTCGAGGTGCTGTCCCCCTTCCCAAGTGCTTTGTTATGGGAAAAAATAAAACCTCTTGTTTAAACTGCTGGTAGTTGGGCCCTGGCTGACGTGGTTCATTTGGTTGAGTGTTGGCCTGTGAACTGAAAAATTGCCAGTTCAATTCTGGGTCAGGGCACATGCCTAGGTTGCATTGAGGCACATGTGAGAGGCAACCAATCGATGTTTCTCTCCCTCTCTTTCTCCCCCTCTTCTCTCTCTATAAATACAATATATACTTTAAACTGTTAGAAGTTGGGTATTCTGTCACTTGTAGCCAAAATGATTCCAATTTGGTACAACAATCGGAACAGCACTCTTCATTCCTCCTTCCCCGGCTGTTCCTCTCCTCCATTACCCAACTGTAAGTGGCACTTCTGCCCCCAAACCATCCCACGCTCCTCCCGTCTCTTACCCATGGCTCAGGTCTCATCCAGCTGTTTGACTTATCCTCTGCCCTCCCTGCCTCTGCCACTCCTAAGCTTTCAGGCCCTCCTCACTGCCACCGAACCCCCGCAGCTCAGGCCTAACCTGCCTCTGAGCTCCCTCCTCTACCCACATTCTATCACCCACAGTCATTTTTCTAAAGTACAAATCTGATCATTTCCTATTCAAACATTGGTGGGCTACAAAATAGTGTTCAAAATCCTGAGCATGGCGTTCAAGGCCCTTGACAACAAGGTCCCCAAACTACCTTCTGCTCTCATCTCCTGTCACTCCTCCAGACTTACTCGGTAATTTTAGCTACGTCAGAGTATTCACTGTGCAAACTCTCACCCCTATACCTTTGTTCTTTGTTTTATTTTTTTTAAGATTTTATTTATTTATTTTTAGAGAGGAGAAGAGAAGGAGAAAGAGAGGGAGAGAAACACCAATGTGTGGTTGCATCTTGTGGGCCACCTGCTGTGGACCAGGCCTGCAACCCAGGCATGTACCCTACAATGGGAATCCAACCGGCAACCCTTTGATTCGCAGGCCGGTGCTCAATCCACTGAGCCACACCAGCCAGGGCTATTCTTTGTTTTCTAATCCTTGAATGTGAATGCCTACTTATTCTCCTTAAAATTCATTTCAAATATCCCCTCTTCTGTGCAGCCCTCCTCACCACAAATAAACATTCTTCCCTCTGTGAGCCTATAGCCTATTGTTCCACTTATCCCTCTACTATAACTCTTATCTTATATTCTAATTATATATTTGCCAGTAGACTAGATTCCTTTAGGGCAAGGATATATTTCAGAGTCCCCAGTACCTCCCAGTTGAGAGTTTGACATCAGCAAATAGTCAATTTTTGGTGGAAGATGCAGCAGTACAAAACACCTTCTAGAACATAGTTCCATCCTTCTTACCATTGCCCTTCCCATCTCCCATTTCCCATCCTGCCCAAACTCCTCTTCCCTGCAGTAGACTCCCAGGGGAAGAATTTCACCTTTTCCCGTGGAGTCTGGCCTCCTCATGGGTTGGATATGTGGGTTGGTACAGATCCATTAGGGTATGGTCACTTTGGCCCTCAGTGAGAGAACTGGACTAGCCCCGACTGGTGTGGCTTGGTTGGTTGGGCATCATTCTGCAAAGTGAAACGTCGCCAGTTAAATTCCTGGTCAGGGCACAGCCTGGGTTGTGGGTTTGATCCCAGGTCAAGAGTGTAGAGGAAGCAACTGGTGAATGAGAGACACCCAATCAGTGTTTCTCACATTGATGTTTCTTTTCCTGTCTCTCTCCCTCCCTTCCCCTCTCTCTAAAAATAAACTCATAAAATCTTTTAAAAAATACAAAATGAAGAACTGGACTAGTCAGTAGTCAAAATAATATCAAAAGCATTTTCCCATATCTGTGAAATTCTCCAAAATCTAGAAAAGCAGATGCCCAGATTTCACCTAAAACACAAACTCTATGAGAGCCGCGCCTTCTCCTGTTGTTCTCCACCAAGCCCCCAGCCCCGACCCGGAGTCCAGTCCAGAGTGAGTGCCCCATAAACACTTGTTGAATGAAAGTCAACCTCAGGTTTATTTCTAAGTTCTAAGAACCAATCAACTCCAAGTGCTCAGCAACTGAGGAGAGCCTGAGTGCGTGTGTGGATGTGTTTATATCTACACTGCATCATTATGATGGCAAACTGAAACACTCAAAGGAACATTATGCTGCCACTAAAAATGCTGTTTACAAAGAGTTGCAACATGGAAAATGTCTTCTGTCATAAAGTCAAAGGGGAATAAAAGAAGTACACAATACACATTCATCACACTATGGAAAAGTAAGCAACGCCCACTGTCCCCCCCTGCCACTGCTCCCCACCCAAATTAAAAACTCACAAGCCAAAAGCTGGCAGAGAAGGAATGAAAATGTTTCAGTGGTTGGTGGTTCCTCCTCCCCTTTATTCTCCTGTTCTCTCTTTTTCAATCTTATACACATGATTAATAAAGTAGGAAATATATACACATTAATAATAGTGGGGAACATACAAAACATACACTGTATTTTTCTTTTTTTAAGATTGTATTTATTTATTTTTAGAAAGGGGAAAGGAGAGAGAGAGACAGGGAAAGAAATATCAATGTGTGGTTGCCTCACATGTGCCCCCTGCTGGGGACCTGGTCCACAACCCAGGCATGTGCCCTGACTGGGAATTGAACCTGAGACACTTTGGTTCACAGGCTGGCACTCAATTCACTGAGCCACACCAGCCAGGGCAAAACATACACTCTATTTTTCAAAATGACATGGAGGGAGTAGAACAGAGGCTGTTCCAGGTTCAGGACTCCCAGCCATCCCGCCCCTAGCCCCGCCCAATCCATTGTCTAAAGATGGCCTCAGGGGCTGGGCCAGGTTAGCAGGTGCCCCAGAGCCCTGTGGCTCTCTGCCACCTCAAACCACAGGGTGCTCAGAAAGAGTAGCAATCAGCCCTGGGTGTGGCTCCGTGGATTGAATGCAGGCCTGCGACTAAAAGATCATGGGTTCGATTCCCAGTCAGGGCACATGCCTGGCTTTTGAGCCAGGTCCCCCATTAGGGGGTCTGCGAGAGGCAACCACACAGACATGTTCTCTCCCTCTCTTTCTCCTTCCCTTCTGCTCTCTCGAAAAATAAGTAAAATTAAAAAAAAAAAAAAAGGAGTAGCAATCCAGACTAGAAATGGTGCCTGAAATGGCGCCTCCAGGCAGTGTCCCCACAGGTGGACTACAAGTCCCTCCAGAGGTCGGGCCTCGCCCAAAGCATTCAAAAGGGTTAATCCTGGCTCTCAGGAATTCACACAAAAGGCTCACGAGGGGGAATTTCCCAGACAGGCAGACAGACAGACACCTCAGACTAAGCACAGATGTTTGCCTGGGGGTAGAAGTCTTGAGAGCTTCACAAGCACAAGTTTGGTGAGAGATAGCCCAGTGCCAGAGCCAAGACGAGACCCGCCCGGGCAGGCTGGGGGCTAGGGTGGGGGAGGGAACAGGACCCGGGCTGAGTTGGTCATCAGGTCGTGCCTCTGATCCCATTTTCTCTTCCATTGTCTGTCTGGATCTCACAGTACCTGCAACTCTCTTCTCGGTCCAGCAGGCGTCGCAGTGGCTCTAGGTGTGTCAGGGCAGAGCGTGTGCGGATTGTGGGTCGGCAATCTGTGCTGCCACACTTAAAGGACAGATTTTTGTGTAAATAAATGGTGGTTTGCCTATTTCCCCTACTAGTCTGGAGGCTCCCCAAGGGCAGGAATTTTATTTTAGACGCGCCCTTACCTTCGTTGCTCATCACAACACCGGCCCCTACGTCTGAAGTACGACCTCCAAACACACAAATATGTACATAGAAAAGTAATGAGATCAAAGCTTAAAGTGAGAATGTTGGGGACAGCGCCAAGCCGGAGGAGGGCTCCGTGTCCTCGTGCCTCGAATTTCCCCCCACCTTTTCTCCACCCCGCTTGCCCCAGCCCTAGACGCTGGCAGGGCGGGGAACGGACGTGGCCCCGCCAGGCTGGGCCGTGCTAGCCTGAACCTGCCCGGCCCTAGAGGCGCAGCCCAGGGACCCCACACGTTCCCGCCCCGCAGTCCCGGCAGCCAGAGAAACGGAGGAATGTGCCCCAAAACGTCTCCTCCGGGGGGCAAGCCTGGGCCACCCTCTCTTTAGAGCTACTGCCTCCACTCCCCTCCCTCACCCCTCTCCGGTTTCTTTCCAGAGCAGTTCCTCGGCAGAAGTTAAGTACCTTCACTGAACAGTGATGTCACCCACTCAACAAATATTTATTGACCAGCTACTACGCGTGCTAAGAGCTGTGCCAGGCGTTGGCAATACAGCATAGAACCAACATATCCTTGCCTTCGTGGAGCTTTGATTTATGGAACACAAGCGCAGGGATACGCTAATCCATGGCGGGGGAGGGGCGCGTGTGAGGCCGTCCTGGATATTGTCCGCGGGTAGACTTCGGCCCGGGCGGGAGGGGCAGGTTGTAAGTCGGGTAAACGCCGGGCTGGGCACGTCGCCTGGGGCAGGTGCGCGCCAGAGGGTGGGGGCGGGAGGGGGCTGCAGTGAGCTGCGCAAAGCCAGACACTACCCTAGTAGGCGCTGGGTAAATATTTACGGTCCTCACCGGGAGTCGGACGTCAAGCAACTCACGCCCCAGGGCTGGGGGCGAGCCTGGGCCCTCCTCCATCCCAGGCTCCTCCTCTCGGGGTCAGCGCCTGACTAGTCGTGGCGTCCCGGCCCCGCGTAATTACAGGGGCTGTCGCCAGGGCTGGACGTAAAAGAAAAGGATGAAACAGCCTGGGAACCGGGGAAGCTGGGCCCGCGCTGGCCAGGGGCCCGGAGTCTGCGGCTTCCCGCGCTGCGCAGCCGCGTGGAGAGCTGGCCCGGGGGGGTGGGGGCACACTCTGCTACACCAACTCGGCACGCGCGCTCAGACACGCGATCACACATACATGCCACCAGACACCCAGGCACACAGCATTCGGCCCTCCTGCGCTAGACAGTCTAGTCCAATCAAACACCTGCCCGCCTTCTCCACTCTGCGAGCTGGGAGGCGGACACCCACCCACCAGCCCCCCCTCTACTGGACAGTAGACCCCGGAGGGAGGGGTGCCCTCGAGAGCGAATTCCAGAGGCCTTGTTTACAGGGAGCAGGGGAAGTGGCCGGAGCTAGGTTCTGGGGCCTGGTGACTGGGAGACCCAGCTGCCCTGCCCCGGGACGCCACGCAGACAGTCCTGCCCCCACCCCACATACTCTGCTCGCCTGTGCACGTTTCCCTTCCTCTTCACACAGACATTAGCATACACGCGTCAAAGTTTCACACGCTCCCCCAAGGCACACGCGGCTGTGATAGTGCTCACAAATGCTTTCACACTTGCGCGCCATCACACGACACATATCTGCACATGCCAGATGCACATGTGTGCTTTGCCACCCTTCATGCTCAGATTCTCACAATCCGTATTCAAAGCCCATTCGCCCGGTACACACGTGTGTTCTCACACACGTCGTTAGCGACCTTTGGTGCACTAAAAACAGGAGCGAACCCCCTCATGGGCCCAAGATCCCGAGTGCCTCTGTAACAGACACAGAGACGTGCCCTTACCCCCGGCCGGCCACACAGGGTCGCCTTGATCATTCAGGGTCGCGCTTTATTCCCGGCATCTAGGCGATGACACAATCTCCCGAACAAAGACAACATTGACAAACCCAACAAAAACAAACAGCCGCGTGTGTGGGGAAGGGCAGCCAAGCGCGGAGTGCGGTAAGGGGCGGGGGACAGGGGGGCGGTGGCGAGGAGAGTGTGGGAACGGGGTGCGAGAGCCTGGTAGTGCGACACTAGGGAAAGGTGCCGGACCTATCAACAGCCTTGCATCCTGCAAGATCCAAGAGGAAAAACGCGTGTTTGCAGAGCTGCTGGTGGAGTTGGTGCCCCTCTGCCGCACGCGACTGCGCTGGGGGACACAGACTCGCACCGCCACCCCAGCCCCCAGGCACAGAAAGCGGAACGCAGACCCACAAGTGAGCGATCACGCAGCGCACTGCGGAGCGGCTCCACCGGGCCGAGTCGCGCTTTCGGTTCTCCTCCCCAACGCATCCCTCCTCCACCTCCCCAGCCCCCAAGCCCCAGGGCAGCCGCCGGGCGGGCGGGGCGGGGTGGGGGGCGGGAGGCGGGAGGAGGTGTCGGGCGGCGCTGGCCCAAAAGGCGGAGTCCACAGGCGCAGGAGCCAGATCAGTGAGCTCTGCGCCGACTGCGCCTTGGAGAAAACCAGCGGGAACCCAGACCCCCCACGAGCCCCTCGTCCTCGCCCAGCCTGGCCCGGCCCCGCGCTATGGAGTTCCTCTGGGCCCCCCTCTTGGGTCTCTGCTACAGTCTGGCTGCTGCCGACCGCCACACCGTCTTCTGGAACAGTTCAAACCCCAAGTAAGCCCTGAGTCTCCGGCCAACAGCCTGGGCGTCCGGTTGGCACTGTCCCCCACCACGCCAGTTTAACTGTCCAGGCCAACCTCTGACCGGAGTCTTAGGGAGGTGACCAGAGGCGGGAGGGAGCCCTTGGATGTTCTTCTCCTCACTTCTCGCCCCTAACTGGGAGTAGGCCACCCCAGGGTAGGAACCTGCCTGGGTCTGCCTGCACAGGCACTAGCTATGCCCCTCCTTTCTTTCCCTCTGGCACCTCTATTTCTCCGAAATGAGGAACCAATGCTGAACAGTTCCTGCCTCCAGCATGGACCACCCTTCCCAGCCACCACTGCTCTTGTAGGTCCTTCCATCAAGAAAGCCTGTGTGCCTCTCTCCTTGTCTGTCACTTGGGCATCTGCCCACACTGACAGGTACCTGAGGTGACATCTGGAGTAAGCAGAATGCTCACTGTAATCCTGGAAGGACCTCTCAGGAGGGACCCAGGGTTCGGGCAATAAGCATTCCTTCTGTATTTAAGGCGACTGTGGAAAGCGCCCCCCTCCAAGGGATCTTTGGAGGTGACACGAGTTAGGCACATTGCCGTGTGTGAGTAAGCTAAGGCAGTCACCTGTGTATGCGTTTCGAGTAGTAAAACTGAAGAGATGGGGGGAGGGTGATCATGGGAAAGGTTCAGGAGGCATGGAAGGGGTTAAAGAGTTACAGAGGGCTCTGGGCAGAAAGGAGTTAATTTCTCCTGGGCAGGTTTAGGGCTGTGAGGCAAATGGTACTGGAGAGAAGAAGCTCCGTGGGACTCTTTGTTCTTGCCCTTGAGTTTTCTGAAGTTATGGGAACAGTATTTGGGGGGAAAACAAGACAGGGGGTTACAAAGAAGAATGGAGAGGAGGGCTGGACAGCTTGGGGTCAGGGAAAACACTGCACTCAGCTCAGCCACCCCCAGCCCTAGCACGCCTGCCTTGAGAAATACACTGTGTCAGCTTCCTCTGATCTTGTGGCAGCATTGCCTGGTAAGGGGGTCTGCGTCTGTGGCATGCTGGGTGGGGAGAGAACAGCTAGCTGCCAACCCCAGAGGGCAGTGCCCTCTTGCCCTGGTTTAAAGGGGCAACCCAGTCAGCCCTCCCCCACCCCATTCCTTGTTGCCTGCTCTTTGCTTCCTGCACCCAATCTTGTCCTAGTAAGAGAGAGCAAAGTCCCTGTTTATGCCCATGCCAGGTGTTGGCTGAAGGAGGAGGAGGGGACAGGAAGCTGTGAGTAGGGAGCGGGGAACCTTGGCCTTTTCCGTTCCCAAGCTCCCAGGTTTCCTCTCTTTCAGGAAGGAGCCTCTTCCTTGCCCCCTTCCCCGCCTTCCCTGACGCCACTGCCCTCTTTTCCCAAATGCAGAGCAAGTCAAAACGGCCCTAAATGGAGCAGATTATATCCCAGGAGGGGGCTGATGGGTGCCTTCACCAAGCCGAGCTTCTGCCCTGTTCAACTAGCCACACCTAACCACACGCAGGACTAAGAGAAGCCAGCCCAGAGTGGAGTCCACAGGCAGCCAGGCAGGGCGCAGCTCGGGGGCAGAGATGAAGTGGCAGTGAGCTGGGCGGGTGCGCGGCTGGCATGGGTGACTCAGGGCAGTGGGCATCTGCCCTGGGATCTCGGGGGAGGCAGCGTGGGAAGAAGGGCGAGCTGGGCACTGGCCTCCTTGGCGCTGGAGGGGCAAGCGCTCTGCCCGTTCAGACCTGCCAGTTCTCTTTGCCTGGAGGTCAGTGTCCAAGGCTAGTGGACACTGTGCCATCCTGGGGCCCTAGGGGGTGTCCGCATTCAACAGGGTGAGTTTTCACAGGCTCTCATGAATGCTGGGGCGGGTGGCAGAGGTGGATGAGGAATGAGTCAGTACCCGTCACTGGAATGGGGGAAAGATGCCAGGCCCAGAGCTGAAATACCTGTTTTGAAATGGCTTCTGTGTTTATCTCTCCAGAGAGGAATTTTAAAAGCCTCTCTGCCTCTCCTCCCCCGCCCCCCCCCCCCCCCCCCCCCGCCGCTTTCTCTCCCTGCCTCCCTTCCTCCCTCCCCTCTCCTCTCTCTCACTCTCTCTTCTCCAGGGTGGGGTAGAGGTCCTGGTAAGCCCAGCCTGAGAACTGGCATGCTGCAAGGCCAGGTTAGGGGTCATGCTGACTGGGCAGTGCGTGCCCACCTCTGAGGCCTTTAGGCCTAATTTCTGCCCCTCCTCCCACCACCTATGCCCAAGGGCTTTGGTTTGTAGCAAGTTGGCAGCCAACCATGCTGAGTGTGTAGCTGGCAGTGCTTGGGGGGAATTCAGAGGAGCTGACCAGCTTGGAGAGGGAGGTGGGGAGGCACTTTACCCCCTACTAGAACCCCACCCAGACTGGAGCCAGGTGTCTGGAGCTGGGGGGAGGGGCAGGGAGAGGGGGGCTGGCTCCATCTTGGGAGGAGGGGCGAGGCAGCCTCAGATCTGAGACCTGCGTCTGGAGCTCACCTCACAGCTGAATGTGTATCTTTTAGAGATGGAGGGGCAGTGTTGTTTTGAGGTGCTTTGAGAGAAGTAGGCAAGGAGAACTGAGCCGCGTTCTGAGTAGCTAGAAGGGAAGATTTGAGGGGAGTGAATGGGTGGATAACAGCAATCTAACTGAAAGGATTCAGGCATTGTCTGTGGGCCTGGGTATACTGGGGGTTTGGGGGAAAGAGAAGCAGAGAAATGTGAGATATACTCAGAGGGTCGGGGTGGGGGGCGATGAAAGGAGTAAGAGCAATGAAGACATTAGATGTGCTGGGGCCGAGTGCTGGCCTAGTAAAGAGAAAGGGTTATTTGGATCCTGATGATAGAATGGGCCAGTAAGGTCTCAGACTGAGGTCTAATAGCATTTAAAGGACCACCTGCTAGAACAGATTCTGGGAAATATGTATGGGCAGGAAAGAATGGTGAATGAGCTAAGGAAATACTTAGAAGCTCATCCTTGGGTAAATATCAGGGCAGTGATGGAAAGTGCTTTGTTACCTGAAAGATACTCGGTGTGTGGAGTTTATTGGATTATGGGAAATGATGGGGGGATATTTGGAGATAGCAGAAAGATATTTAGATCGAGATCAGCAAATATTGGGAGTTGAGATTGTCAAAACATCTTTGTGTGTGGGTCCAGGGTAAAATGTGAGAGGTCATGTAAATCGTTGGAGACTCAAGGCTCTGGTCTGGCTTCTGAGTGACTGTTTGCTTCCTTCCCCTCTGTGTACACCCAGGTTCCAGAATGAGGACTACACGGTACATGTGCAGCTAAATGACTACCTGGACATCATCTGTCCCCATTACGAGGATGACTCTGTGGCAACCGCTGCCATGGAGCAGTATACACTGTATCTGGTAGAGCTAGAGGAGTACCAGCTGTGCCAACCGAAATCCAAGAGCCAGGTCCGCTGGCAGTGCAACCATCCCAGTGCCAGGCATGGCCCAGAGAAGCTCTCTGAGAAGTTCCTGCGCTTCACGCCCTTTTCCCTGGGCAAGGAATTCAAAGAGGGACACAGCTACTACTACATCTGTGAGTGCCCTGGAGGCATACACAGAGGTGCACATGGTGGGGGGTGAAGCCACCGTGATGAATATGCCTGAATACATGCTTGGTAGGGAGTCAAGCAGCAGAGGGACTCTCCAATCCTGGATTCTGTTTTCATTCACTCACATTACAAATGTGGAGTGAGCCTCTACTGTATTCTGAGATCTCTGCTTAGCGCTACAGGCACAAAGAGAAATAAAACGCTGCAGGGTCCCTGCCTCAAGGAAGCTGGGAAGAGACACGCATTGGTTAACAGACCATTAGAACAGTATGACATGGTAGACATGAGCACAAGGGCCCTGGAAAAATGACCTTGGAACCTTCCAGATTAGGGAGTTTCAGAGAGGGCTTCCTGGCTTCCCAGAGTTTAGGACAAGCAGAGGATTTGGCCATAAATGAAGGGACATGTGCAAAAGGAACAGGACATCTTCAGGGAACTCCACGTGGATAGCCTGGCTAGAGTAGGAAGGACACTTTGAAGTGGGGAGATATGAGCTTGGAGAGGTGGACAGGGCAGATCACAGGGACTAGAAGCGTGAAGGAGTCTATCCTGAGGGCAGTGCAGGGAGAGCCACTGGTAGACTGAAGAGTGATTAGACCAGTTTTGCATAGAATGCATCCAGGCCTCACTCTTTCAACGTGCAGGGGTAGGAGGAGCACAAGATGGCCGGGTAAGGGGAACAATACCAAATTTCAGCTGGGAGGAGTGAAGAATGGACTGTGGGGAGTGGACAGTGGCTATGTTCTTTTTGCCACCATCTCCACGGCCAAGGATTATTCCAAAGAAGGGAGACTGGACTGAACATGGGGCAGAGAGTGGGCAGAACCTAAGGAAGGTAAGAATCAAGGCTTAGAGGGAAGAAAGGGATTCAAATGAGCAGGGACTGAGAAAGTAGGGCCCAGGGCATTTGCATTTGTTTTCTTCCAACGAAGTTTCCTTCCCCTTCCTTAATACCCCGTGGGTATATCTTGCAGCCAAATCCATCCACCACCAAGACGACCAGTGCTTGAGGCTGAAAGTGACCATCGATGGCAAAATCAGTGAGTGTCAGGGCCCTGAGGGCCTCCTTCCTCCACCCCTGTGCTGGGCATGGCCTGATGGGGGGGGGATCCACTGCCCGGCCCAGCCAGCATTCCCACCCTTCTGCCCCCGCCCCGGCAGTACCTGATCTACGGCCACCCCTGTCTTTTAGCTCACAGCCCTCAGGCCCATGCCAATCCACAGGAGAAGAGACTTCCAGCAGGTACGTAGCTGGAGCAAACTGGGCCTGGAGCCAACAAGAGTGCCTCCTTGAGGGGGCTGGGTACAAGAGGTGGCTCCTTGGCCAGGCAGGGGCTGAGAAAGCCTTGTTGGACTGAGGGCCCATTGCCAGTAGTGGGACTGCTCACCTGGGAGCCTTTGCCCTTCCACCTTGCAGATGACCCAGAAGTGCAGGTTCTACATAGCATCGGACACAGTGCTGCCCCCCGCCTCTTCCCACTTGCCTGGGCTGTGCTGCTCCTGCCATTTCTGCTGCTGCAAACCCCGTGACGTTGTATGCCACATCTGGCCTAAGGATTGAAACTGGGCTGAGGAGGCAGAAGCAGGCCCCCCTCACCTGTCCTGGGGTCCCTCCCAAAGCCCCAGTCCTGGGAACCATCCCACCACACGTACAAGCTGCCACTCAGCAGCCTCAAAACGAGTCAGTATTAAGGGTTTCAACCCAAAGGAGGTCGGCAAGCCTAGTAGTGCCATCCCTGCCTCCACCTCAGAGGGATGGACAAAGAAGCGGGGACAGTCCTTTCCCTGCCATTCCTACCCTTAAGCCAAAAAAACAAGCTGTGCAGACATGGACTCTTAAGAAGGACGCTGTGGGAGCTGAGCTGGAAGCGGTCTGGGGTCATGTGGGTGGACACTGAGCTTGGCAAAGATGCCCTTCCTACAGAGAGCCAGGATGTCAGGATGAACTGATTGAAGGAAAAGCAGGAGACAGTGTCCTGCCTGGGAGCCAGGGACAGGAGAGGTGGTATGCTTGCGCTGACCCAACATCTCCCGTCATGGGAAGGTTTGCAGGCAGTCACCGCACCCTCCTACCTGGGGCAGCACCCCCCAGAGCTGTGCCAACAGGGGGGCTGTGCCAACCTGTTCTTAGAGTGTAGCTGTTAGGGCAGGGCCCATATGTACAGGATTTGTATATAAATTTGTGGTGTCTCTGTTGTTTTCTATAACTGGCTTTTTTTATACAATGTTGTGTCTGAAAATAAAGCTGTTTAGTTTTTTGTACATGCTTTTCTGTCCTTCCATACTAACTTATGATCATTGAGTTCCTGCTATGGGTGATACCAGTAGCAACTGGGTTTTAATTTTTTCCCCCTCTCTGGAAGGAATTCTTACCCCTCACAAACCCCCAAGAGGGGTGTTTCCTCTTCAGGGTTGTTGGGTTGCCAAGTGCTCCCCACACAGTCACTCGGTTCCTGTTTGACCCCACTCTGGAAGCTCTTCCTGTCAAACCTCTGCCCCATTCCCACCCTCACAGTGCTGAGTTCTGGGCGTTGGCAATACCATACAGGTATTCATAATGACGGGTGAGTCAGGGCAGCCCTCAAGGGAACACCAGCTGAGGCATCTGGCCCAACTCACTGACCCACCGACCCACCGAGATGTGTGGGAATCTGGTATGGAAATTCCCAGCAGCAAGTCGGGCAGGACTAAGGGGCCATCAAAGCGGTAAGTGCTTTGGTGGATCGGCCAAGTTGGTGGTGTGGCTGAATGGGGAGGGCAGCTGACAGAATTGGTCATTTCTGGCAACCCTTGTAATTTAGGGGAGAAGCTGGAAAGAGGCTTCAGCAAACTGGGGAAAAAACCTCCCAAACACTGGGCCAATGAGGTTCTGATCTGGAGCTGTGGGTGGAAAGCGAGTTGAAGTCTAGCTGGGTCCAGCAAGCTTCTGTTTTGAGATCAACCGTGTAGGCTGGGGTGGGCCTGTGGGAGAGTTGAGGAGGGGGGGCAGTCTAGGTAACCCAAGGGGTAAGCACAACACTGTAAACTCCGCGGAGCCGCGGCAAGTCCCTGGAGCCCTAGGAGGCAGACCCACCGAGACCTGGAGAACAACGTCAGAACCGGGAAGCTGAAAGCCTAGCTGGGGAGGGAGGGGCGGGGCCTGAAATCCCTCCTTACGTCCTAGGCAGGTTCCGGTTCAGTTTCCGGCAGACGGCGAGCGTGTGGGGCCTGGGACGTGGAGGGGCGGGGCCCCTTCGAAGCGGGGGCCCTGCCACCAACTAGACTGTCCCCGGCGCTGGGCGCCTACTTTGAGAGAGATGGAGACAGGCGGCGTGGCGGACACCCTTCTTTCTGGAGCTTGCGTGGTCTTCACCCTCGGCATGTTCTCCACCGGCCTGTGAGAATGCAGCCGGGCTGGGATAGGGCAGGACCAGAAAGTCAGGAAAGGAGCGAGAGGGGACGGAGACGTGGCTGCAGCCCCAGGCTGCTTCCGGAATCTGGGGGCAAAGTGGAGTCGGGTCGAGGGGAACGGGGTACCAGAGCAAGGCTGGTCACTTGACCTGAAAAAGGCAAGGGAGCTGAGGGCGGGGCCGGGGGTGTGCAGTTGTTAGGCAAGGATGACAGGCATTAGGGATCTCCACTCCCCAATAGCCTGGTTCTCCCTTCCGCTCTCACCCCTGCCTTTGGGGCTCCGTTACAGCTCTGACCTCAGGCACATGTGGATGACCCGCCGAGTGGACAGTGTCCAGTTCCTGCCCTTTCTCACCACGGATGTCAAGTGAGAGGGAGGAAGGCTGGGCGGAAACAGTGGGTAGGGTGAGGACCGTGAAAGAGACCCCTTGGGTCCCCCTCCCACATTCATCCCCATGGCGAATGTGTCTCCTCTCCACCCTGCAGCAACCTGAGCTGGCTGAGTTATGGGACCTTGAAGAGAGATGGGACCCTAATTGTTGTCAACGCTGTGGGTGCTGTGCTTCAGACCTCATATATCTTGGTGTATCTGCACTACTGCCCTCGGAAGGTAGGGACCCTTCCTTGCACTCACCTCTCTGCTGCATGTCCTGCTTGTTGGCAGGGCAAACAGTGCTTCCTAGAAGGCTGTAACAGGCTGGCACTGCCAACTTTTCCTGGAAGGCCCCTCCAGCATTGCAGTCCTCCTTCCTCCATAATACCAGCCTTCTGAGACTCAGAGATTGCCCCCTTTTCTGGCAAGGCTGGTAGCTCTGTCTACCCTGATGGTGCCTCCTTGCTGCCCAATACGCTGAGGCCAAAGTGCATTTATCTCTTAGTTCCTTCAGAACCAGGACCAGTGGCTGAGAATAAGATGATTAGCTGTTTTCCTGTTCAACCATACAAGCATTTATTAAGCTCCTCTTGTGTATACTAAGCTCACAAAAAAGACACCTTTCCTGTTCTGGCTGGTGTGGATCAGTGGGTTGAGTGCCAGCCTGCAAACCAAACGGTCGCCGGTTGGATTCCCAGTCAGGGCACAGGCCTGGGTTGCAGGCCAGGTCCCCAGTAGGGGTTGCGCCAGAGGCAACCATGCAGTGATGTTTCTCTCCCTCTCTCTCTCCTTCCCTCCCCTACTGTTCTAAAAATAAAATCTTAAAAAATAAAAATAAAAAGACATCTTTCCCTCTCCTAGAAACCTCCAGTGTTGTGGGTGGATCGAGTCACTGGTGGGAAAAAGGCTATGACAAGTGCCATACTGGAGGTCTGGGCAAAGGTTGGCTCCTCCACTGGCGCATGGATGAGTTGATTCCCTAAGGGAGTCCGAGAGGGCTCCTGGCAAATCTAGAAGGCTGTTCTCTGCCCTGCAGCGTGCTGTGCTCCTACAGACAGCAGCCCTGCTGGGGGTCCTCCTCCTGGGTTTTGGCTACTTTTGGCTCCTGGTGCCCAGCATTGAGGCCAGGCTTCAGCAGCTGGGCCTCTTCTGCAGTGTCTTCACCATCAGTATGTACCTGTCACCACTGACTGATTTGGTGAGTGGGGGTGTCTCTGAAGGTCAGGCAGATAAAACAGGTCGGGGATAAGAGACTATAGTTTACACTCCAGAGGAAGGGAAGATTCAAATCCTGGAAGGAGACAGGGCAGTAAAGGTGGGTGAGTGGGAGACAGGAAGGAAAGGTTGGGTAACAGAAAATCAGGGAGGGTATTTTTTCTGAGGAAATTATTAGGCAAGGTAGGAGCTTTACTGTATCTGGGCTAGGAGAGTCTTTCATCCTTTTCCCCCAGGCCAAAGTTATTCAGACTAAGTCAATCCAACGTCTCTCCTTCTCACTGACCATTGCCACCCTCCTCACCTCTGCCTCCTGGATCTTCTATGGGTTTCGACTCAGAGACCCCTACATCATGGTAAGCAGCACAGGGATGGAGGGACAGGTGTACAAAGTGGAAAATCAGCTGCTCTTCTCATTGCAGCCCTTGTGATTTCAGGTGCCCAACCTTCCAGGAATCCTCACCAGCTTCATTCGCCTCTGGCTTTTCTGGAAGTACCCTCAGGAGCAAGACAGGAACTATCAGCTCCTACAAACCTGAGGCAGTTCACCTGACCACAGGGCACTCTAATGCCAACTTGTTACCAAAGAGGTTCAAACCAACCTGTTTCAGCTCTTCTGTCTTACCAGCTCCACAGGTGCCATGGGTTACGGGAAAGATAAAGAGACAACTTTGAGAATCTGGGGATCAAAGAAAGAGCTTTACTTAGAAGATTGGGTGAGGCCTGGGAGATGATGCACTTATTTTTTAGAGATTATATTTTTTAATTTTGGAGGCTGGAAGTGAAATCTTTAGAATGTGCCTTAAAATAAACTGTTCCCTACCATGCCCATTAAGGTTCATTCTCTATTCAGTGATTCTCAACCTGCCTGGTTTGGTGAAGGACAAAGGTGCACTGCGTGATCAGTTATCCTTGGGCTGATACGGTTGGCTCGGGAAAGGTATCAAAAAGAACAAGGGCAACCTAGGAGAGACCTAGGAAGGCCTTAACAAGGACAGAGCTTGGATGTTATGAAGAAGAATGTAAGTTAGGCTTCAAGATGTACTTCCTGACGGGGTTAAAAGGACCAGAAAAGTGAAACATTTCCATCCTTCGATTTTGAGAAGGGGGTCTTTGCCTCCTTTCAAATAAAAAGGAGAAACACCAGCAGGATGCAAAGATAAAAGTTCGGATGACCTCAGAAAGGTGGCTTGTTGGCCTTTCACTTCTCGACAACTAGTACACACACAATCTCCAATTCCCATTTTCCATACTAAACGAAGTTATTTAGTAAACTTACTACTCTTTAATGGGGGATGGGAGGGAGGGGCTGTCCGGCGGGAATGGGGTTAGGGTGTCAAAAGCGCATCCCCCTGCGGGATAAGTCGGCTCTGGCCTCCTGGATCTGGCTCTGCAGCTCCCGGGCGGCATCCTCGCAGTCGTGAAAAGTGGCCACGCGATAGCCCACAGTGCCCAGTGCATAGCAGCCAGCAGACACCAGCAAGTAGGCAGGCAGTGGCCACAGGACCTCCCGGCAGGACGAAGGCAGCTCCAGGCCTAGGGCCCCCATGGTCAGGGCCGCCCAGGCGGAGCCCAAGAGCACAAGTGCCCAAAGCCACTGTGCTAATTTCGTCATGGTCGCTGCGGGAAGAGAAACCAGAGCTGGAGATCTTTCCACCTCGCGACCCCTACTCCATGTGAGACCCATCTGCCCTTCTCCCTCACCAGCCCCTCCGTCTCATGCTTAGGGCCGCGCCGCCGTCGCTCTCACCCTCCGCCCTGTCCACTCGGCCATCAACCTACACGTACCTCTGCCAAGTGTTTCCCGGGTCTGCGCGGCTCTGACGTCAGCGTGCGGTGCGGAACTCTCCTAGGTTTGCGCTCCGCCTTTCCGCTGCCTTCTGGGAGTTGAAGTCCTCGTTGTGGCGCCTGGAGGGCTCGCACCGCCGCGTTTCCCTCCGTTGAATTCTGCAGTCTCTGCTCTGCAAACTGCGTCTTGGGTCCCGAGGGGCTTCGGTGCTTCTTTTCTCTTCTCTCCTTCGGTGGCATGCAGAAAGCCACCCTTAAACCTTGCAATATGGTTCTCCTTAAACTTCACATATGCACATAAATCCCATTCGTTCGTTCATTTATTCATTCATTTGTTCTTACGTTAATGAGCACCATAATAAAATTTAGAGAAATAAAGATATCAAGACACTCGGCCGCTTCTGGGGTGGAGGGGGAAAAGGAAGTCAGGAAAAGGGAAGCATTGACAACTTATCCTGCTTTAAAATAGGTGTTAAAACAAAGATTGTCTTTTTTCTTTTTCTATAGTACTTTATTTTCCTCACGATGACGTGTTGCTAAGGCCTAATGTTCTCACATGAGAGTAGAAAAACAAAATCTGTCATCTCTTGAAGAATTGAGAATTGTGTACAAAAACCTTATATAAATTAAAAGGATGGCTAAATTTACAGGTGGAAATGCAAACTGATTTCCAACTCAAGGTAGGTAACAACACAGGTGTTCTGGCAGGAAAAATCAGCTAAGAAAGGAAAATGGGTCCTGACGCTGAGACCCTCCCAACCCCTTCAGACCAGCAGGACAGAAATGACAACTGGTTCAAGACGTGTGCCAGCCTCTAGAGAAACCCTAGAATAGGCAGCTCCCTCATGTTAATACCCGACACACATCAGGAACCATGGTTCTGTGGATTCTCATCAAGCCACTGGATTTCTCTTGCAGAAGCATGTTCTTGTTCAGGCCACCAAGTGACCGAAAGCATGTGCAGGTGTTTGAATCAAAGGTATGTACAGGGTATTAAATATACACCAAGAGAACAGTTAGCTTGAATACAAGGTCAAAATCGGCAACCAGGTGTATAATCCAGTGCTGAAATCAGACACAAACTTGAAAGACAATTTCTTTTTGAAGGCTTATCCCAGTTTCATAAGATCAGCATGAGATGTGTACATTTGCCACGGCAAACTTAGACCTGATCAACTCATGCAGCAAATGCTATGGGGCCTGCCCACAGTCCTTTTAGAAGCATTTGTGGTGGATGATAGAGGGGCCCGACTTGTCTACTCCTGTTTGCTGATCTACATCTGCTGGAAGGTGGACAGCGAGGCCAGGAGAGAGCTGCCGATCCACACCAAGTACGTAAGCTCCAGTGGGGCAATGATCTTTCTCTTCATCCTGCTGTGAGGCAGGGCTGTGATCCCCTTCTGCATCCTGTTGGCGATGCCTGGATACATGGTGGTCCCACCAAACATCACTGCGTTGGTATACAGTTCCTTTTGGATGTCGACATCACACTTCATAATGGAGTTAAATGTTGTCTGGCAGATACCGCAGACTCCATACCTAGAAAGGAAGGCTGGAAGAGCGTCTCTGGACACTGGAACCCCTAGTTGCCAACGGTGATCACCTGCCTATCAGGCAGCTCTTAACTCTTCTGCAGGGAGGAGGAGGACGAGGTGGTAGCCATCTCCTGTTTGAAGTCCAGGGTGGCAGAGCAGAGTTCTTCCTTGACGTCCCCCACAATTCCCTGCTCAGAGACAGCGGTGAAGCTGTAGCCTCACTCCACGAGGATCTTCGTGAGGCAGTCTGCCAGGTCCTGGCCCGCCAGGTTCAGACACAGGATGGCATGGGGGAGGGCATAGCCCTTGTATATGGGCACAGTGTGGGTGACCCCATCCCTAGAGTCCATAACAATACCAGCGGTGACCAGAGGTGTACAGGGACAGCACAGCCTGGGTGGCGATGTACATGGCAGGAGCGCTGAAGCTCTCAAACATAATCTGAATCAAAATAAACTTTACAAAACCATGATCTGAGTCATCTTCTCGCGGTTGGCCTTGGTGTTCAAGGGGGCCCCAGTCAGCAGGACTGGGTGCTCCTTGCAGGCCACAGCTTGTTGTAGGTGTGGTGCCAGATTTTCTCCATGTCATCCCAGTAGGTGACTATGCCGTGCTCAATGGGTCAGGGTCAAAATGCCATGCTTGATCTGGGCCTCATCACTTACATAGGCGTTTTTCTTCCCCATGCCCACCATGACACCCCTGTGTCAGGGGTACCCCAGGGATGGCAATGGGGAACCTGGCCCAGGGGGCATCATCCCCAACAAAGCCAGCTTTGCACAGGCCAGAGCTCGTCATGTCGATGACCAGCACGGTGATCTCTTCTTTCATGGCCACCTGAGAGTGTGCGAAGGAGCAGAGAGCAGAGCAGCAAGAGAATGAGGGGTGCGAGCCGGCTGCTGTGAGAAGGTTGTCGTATTTTTAATTATTATTTTTTTATCCTCACCTGAGGACTTTTTTTCCCATTGCTTTTAAGAGAGAGGAGGAGGGGGGCATAAACATCAATGTGGGAGAGAAGCATCGACTGGGTTGCCTTCTCATATGCGCCCCAACTAGAAATCGATCTGGCAACCTGGGTATGTGCCCGGAGCAGGAATGGAACCCGTGACCTTTTGGTCCATGGGATGATGTACCAACAAACTGAGCCACACCAGCCAAGGCAGGTTGTCATATTTTTAAAAAGAAACGAGGGGAGAAACCAGGTAGCTTGGAGCCAGGAGAAGAAGAGCTCCAGAAGAATGTCTTTAAGGGAAAAAATTGTGGGACCAAGGAATTACCTGATGTGCTTAAGGAATTGAGAGAAGGTATATACATCTTTCAGAGAGGTTGGGGGATGAATTCATGTTAGGTATATAGAAAACCAAGTAAAAGAGAAGGTCATGCAATTACCAACTTTAGGGAAAACAACGAGTTATAAAAGGAAAGAGAACTGACAAAAAGCCTGCCTGATAAAGACCTGTACAAACATAACTGTATGTTGAACAGTTAGGTTTATTAACTTGCTGCTGTAAGAAAGAATACAAAACAGAAAAACTGTATGGAGCAGGCTGATCAAAGGAAAAAACAGGGTCATTATAGAATATGGGAAATGTAGAATTTAGGTAATATTTAAATAAAGCAGTGCTTTGATAGGTTCAAGGTCAGGATGGATATAAGTAAGGGAATCAACAGCAACCGTGGCTGAGAAGCAGACTGAGGGTCCACTTGGAAACTATAAGATTAAGATAATTAACTTCAGATAATTATATAATAGATAATTACATGATTAAGATAAATCTACTGTTGTGTCCAAAACCCCATTATCTGAAGTTTTGCATATAGGTTGGAATTCAAGAATGCTTCTTTGTGGCAAAGTAATCCTCATGGCTCAGACCCCCCCACCCCACCCCGCAAGAGTGGGATGTTCCATTCTCACTGACTGATTTCAAATAGCAAGGTCTGTGACTGGTTTTAAGAGGGTGAAGTTTCCTCAGCTTCATGTCCCTTATGTTAATGAAAACAGTTTTTACAGATTTAGTCTTAGTACACACACTACATAGCTCAGCAGTGAAGGATATTTTCACAGACATAATAATGTAAACACTGAGTATTGATTTAACCAAAAGTTGGAATATATTTTAATTGAGAAGATAGGGTGGGGAGCGCGTTAGGAGAGTCAGGATTAAAGATCACTATATCCTCATCTTCTATGGCAGACGGTAAATTGATTATATCTAAAATATAAAGAAGAAATAATAATATAAGCATATTATTTAGAAATATAGAGGCAAGTGCCAAAAGAAGAGCTAAGAAACTTGAGAGTGATTTATGCAGGAGTGTGTGTAGGGGTAGGAGAGTATAGCAGGGACAGTTATTTTTTATGCCATGTAGAACTAGTTGGCTTTTTAAACTATGCAAATTTCTTTGTTAAAGTAAGAATTAAGACAGAATATAAACATTTTTAAAAACATACTATATGAACGCCAAAGCCCCACTCCCAGTCCCTTCCTCATGCCCTCTTAAATCCTGCTGGTCGCTTACCCAAGACCTCACTGGTCACAATGACTTTTGGCACAGATCAGGGGCTAGGCATCAACTTTGCAGAAACTCTATTTTATTAACCCACAGTAGACCTGGCTGTGAATGATTGACACTCCCCATAAAATTTTGGGGGGAAAGACAGGGAGAAGTGCTACAACACATAAAGACAGATAATAAATTGTAATGTAATAATAATCAGAATAAACATTCACCTGACATTGCCATGTTTAATATTCACAACATGCTGCAGAATATACTTTCATACTCTCATTATGAGTGAGGAAACCAGAACAGAGAGATAGACAGTAAAAGACAAGTAACTTGCCCAAGGTCATGCAGATAGTAATCAG